GTACGTGGCTGGCGCCGGGTTTAGTTTTTTTAATGCTCCCTGCGTGTATGCATGTGACATTTCCCTGGGAAAAGTCATCCAGAGACCTCATCTCCCAGCAATTGTGGTTGTGAGGAGAGATTGGGACAGTCTTCCTTCATCTGCCCAGCTGTGGGGCCAGGGCCTTCTCCAGCCCACAGCCTTGCCCCGGGGGTGGGGGTGGGGGTATCTCCAAGAGCAGAGAGGTCTTCAAAGACAGCTTAGAAATGTGCCGGTGTGTGAAAATGGCTCCTTGTTGTCCTCACACATTGATCTTCTCGGTCTTGCCACTTGAAGACCCTGGGGTTAGCGCTGGGGGCAGGCGGAAGTGGGAATCCCAAGGCCTCAGGAATTTCTTATTTTCACGGTTGAAATACTGGATTTGCATTAGTTTTCTACTTAGCCCCTTGATCAGAATATTTTATAAGTGACAAAGATCTTTTGCATTTGTGCCCTTATGTCTTAAAAGACTAACTTCAACCATTCAGTAGATGAATGAGCAACTTTAACTCAATAATTTAAAAATATAGTATCCTTTGAGTGGAGTTAATGGAAAATGCATAGAAAAACGATGAAAAGTAAACAGTTTTAACTGATGGCCTCAGTATTTTTTTTCTACTGAATTATTGCTATTTAGGCATGACAAGAATACCATAGGATTATATCTTTGAAATGGTTTGAATGGAAACTGATTTTACTTCACTGTTGTGCTGTTTATACTGTCCTTATTTTTTCTCATTAACAGAACAGGCATTCTCATCGCACATACTAGAGCCAATAGAAGAACTTTCAGAGGAAGAAAAAGGTAACAAAGGGTTTGATCAGGGTTAACCTGCATAGATCATATGCCAAAATCCAGGCCTTGAAAATAAGAGCCAGTGGTTTTTATCATAATGTATCAAAATTAAGAAAAACATATTAGGTTTGGATTTTATTTGTTATTAACCCCCTAATATCCTGCTTTAGTGTGTTCTTACGCAAACAGATGAAATAAATTCCCTGCGTCAGGAAACTTGAAAAAAAATTAAGTCTTTATTTCAACGCAGATATTGTCTGAGCAGATGACAAGTTGACATACTTGTGTTTTGACCCCGATAGTAGCAAAATATTTGTATCACAGTGGTGTCTCATACCCCAAATCTGAAATGACTGGGGAAGTACTCATTTTCAAATTATTTTTAATAGCAAGAAAAGTATAATGTGTAAGCTCTGGATGTGGAATATTTATATGCTAAATAATAACTTTGTGGTAGAAATTGGGAGCTGTTTGCAAGTTCAAGGGAGATAATTAAAATTATTACTGCTTACTCATTTTTATTTGACAATTCTAAAAATTATTTTCCATCATTATTTTATTTGTTTATTTATTTTGAGACAGAATCTCTCTCAGTCGCCCTTAGTGGAGTGTCATGGCGTCATAGCTCACAGCAACCTCAAACTCTTGGGCTCAATCGATCATCTTCCTCAGCCTCAGGCATGTGGCAGGTGCCTCAGCAGGGACTACAGGTACCTGTCACATGCCTGGCTATTTTTAGAGATGGGGTCTCGCTCTTGCTCGACTGGTCTCCAACTCCTAAGTTCAGGTGATCCATCCTCCCTGACCTCCCAGAGTGCTGGGAGTATAGACGTGAGCCACTGCGCCCAGCCCATCAATTAATTTTTAATGTTAAATAGTGTCTTTAAGCATCCCTATTGGTTTCCCAGAAACAGAATGAAAAGATCTTACCCTTTTTGAGTTCTGAAAAATGGCACATTATTTTACTTACAAGTAACATGCTTCCTCTTTCTTAAATACATATCATTTATCAAGTCCAAGACTTAAAATCTCTTATCCTTTGGAGAATCTGTGAATTGTGTCAGGAGGCTTATGGGAAGGGTCACTTAATCTTGAAGCTGGAACCTCAAGCCATATAGTTCACACTCATTTCAAAAAGAAGTCAATGAGGGTTCCAAGAGAAACTGTGATTTGTACATTATCACCGAGAGTGGTCTTTTGACTTCGTTCCCAGCTCCACACACTGCGTCCCTCTGCCTGTGCTTTTAGAGTTCTTCACCAAATTTGAGACAGGAATTTGGGATCATTGACAGCAAAATCATCATTGCTTTTTGCCGCATTTGGGAGACTGGAGAAGTAATCCTTGCCACCTTCTCTTTGTTCACACCCAACTCTGGTGGGAGATAGGAGAGCTAAAAACTGTGGACAGTGCCCTGGGGGCCGTGTGTACCACATGGCCCCAGAAACCGATGACTGCATCCTCCTAGCACCTCCCTGGAGGCCACATGCTGGCAGCAGATTAATTGCCATTGATAAATTCCTCAGCTTGTGCAAACATTTTGCAGATAAATGCCTGTGAAGTTAAACTTGGCAGTGGCTTGCAAAAACACCATGGCTGTTACTAAGAAGTAACTTGCACATGTGTATTTTGTGTCCTTGCTTTTGACAGCTGTGCAGAGGCCTTCTGGATCCTGCTGTTTTATAGGAGATGAAAATGTGAGGGCCAGAACGGATCTGTCAGGCCATTTTATTTTTCAAAAACTTGAAACGCATGGATTAGGAGCCTGCTCCAGTTGCTGAGCTTAATTAGTGACAGCCTGGAACGAAAGTCCAGGTCGTCTGCTTCTATAACTCAATGCAGAGACAGGGAAGCCAGCAAGGCAGCCTTTGGGGTGACCCTGGTACCTCTCTGTTTTGTTATCCTCGTGTGAAAAATGAGGTTTATTACCCGGTGATGGATAAAGACCCTCCCAACTCCCGTTACGTTTTAATTTGCTTTGCACTACACTTACTTGCTTACCCTAAATGGTATGTCATATATCTGCTGTAAGTGACCACATACGTGGGCCCTTGTGCACGAGCCTGGCCATCTGCTTGGGTGTGTTTTCAGATTTTTATTTGAAGGAAATGCTAACCTCTACAAAGGTTTTTTCTTACTGGTCTTGGTGAGTGATATGTGCTTTAACTAAACTCTTGAGCTGTGATTTGGTTTTCAGGTGATTAATTCCACCTCTACATACAAACTTTATTTTTCTCTGTCTCCTCAACATTTTTCCTACTGCTTTTGTCAGCCAGCCCTACCCTTGTTGAGAGCCTTTACCCAAGGGTGTTTTCATTATTCATAAATGGTTCCCTAAAGAAAGCACCAAGGTAGATGTATAAATGAATTCGAGGACAGAAGGATATGTTTACTCTGCCATCATTTGGAGGAACTCAGTCATCAGAACGAACCTGTCACTGGGGTTGAGGGTGACCATGAACATATTAGCAAATGAATTCAACAACTGATACCCAAGGCTTTATGATTCCACTTCTAAACTGTAGCCAAGCCATTCTAGGCATTGCTTGACCCCGTGTTCTGGAGTAAACAGGGCTTGGAGCCTCTGTTTAGGCCATGCTTCTTTATTATTTGAGATACCAGACAAAGAATTCTCTCTGCATAGTCAGGGCGGGGTGTGTGTCATGGAAGCACCAGGACTTCCAGGCTCTCTCTTGGTGCTGCTTTATATTTTTTGCCCTGGACAGTGGAAGACGTGATGGCCACCAGAAGCCAAAGCCAGTGGCACGATGGCTTATAGCTAAGATTTTGATGGATTGTCATTTTCTAGGACAGAAGTGCTTTTTTTAGTGGTTTAGTGCAAATAGTCTTATTTGCAAACATGAATGGTTAAATAGCAACATGAATGCTGAGAATATATAATTTAAGATTACTTCTGACTTTTAATCATATAGAATCACATGCAATTTTGTAATTTCCATTTACTAAACTCTTAATAGCAAAATATAGAAAAGTATCCTTTTTCTTTCTTTCTTTCTTTCCCCTCCCCCCCCCCTTTTTTTTTTTTTTTTTTTTTAGAGAGAGACTCGGTCTTTCTTCTTGTCCAAGCCGGAATACAGTGGCACAATCTTAGCTCCCTGTTACCTTGAACTCCTGGGTTCAAGTAATCCTTCTGCCTCAGCCTCCCAAGTAGCAAAGACTACAGGCATGTGTGCCATTCTCTGCTTATTTTTTAATTTTTTGTAGACATGGAGTCTTGCCATGTTGCCCAAGCTGGTTTCTAAATTCCTGGCCCTAATGGACCTGCCCACCTTGGCCTCCCAATATGTTGGGATTATGGGTATGAACCACTATGCCCAACCTAGAAAAGTATCTTTATGTTGACTTTTTTTTGGGTTTCTATTTGATATACAAATTGTAATTTGACTAATTTTGCTTTCAGTAAAACCATTTATTAATTTTATTAATAGAAATATTTTTTGCTGCTGGTTTAGAAAACATCTTAAATAAAAAGGCATTTCGTTCAAGATCTTCTGTGAGTCCCAAGTGCTACAAACTCTAAAAATCCCATCTATAGAGGTGGTTGACCAGTAGAAGGGAGAGCTCAGCTGGCCTGCAGCCCACTCCTAGGGAATGGCATCCGGTGCTACCTTTGCTGGGCAAAATGCCTCCCCTGGAGACTGGCCTGTCCAAAATGGTAGTGCACTTGTCATATTTCCTCCAGATCTGGCTTTGTTCATTCACTAAGGCCCTGAACTACCAAGCACTGGGTCTTTTAAATCAAGTCTTTACTTTCCTTGGACATAAAGGCTCAGATTTTCAAAGCTCATTCCATCTTTCCTCTTCTCCAAACTCCTTTGAACTTGACACTTTGCTAGTGGGGAATAAAAGAGGAATTGGAATGGAAAAGGGAGAATGTGGCCTATCGTTGTTTTTGGTTCCTTTGTTTTCGATTACAGGTCGTTTTAAACAAATATACTTTTCCTACGACTTAGTGTTAACTTCATTTTCATCAATATGTTGAGGTATTTTGAAGTTTTGTATGTTCTTAGGTTCTACTAAACTTATTACTTTTAGTTATTTAAAATTCATTAGGCTTTTTTTTATAAGATGATACACATAAATTCTAACTGAGCTTACAAATGAATTTTTCAGGAAATAGTCAACTAATTCTAGTGATATAACATTAAACTTTGAAATAATTTTTTTTCATTATATTCTATAGACACATATATTTCTTATATTATTTATCTAGTTAAAATTCAGTTAGGTGACCAAGAGTCTATAAAGACACTGAAGTTTTGAAGCAGACTTAAAATAGTTTTAAAACCTACATTGCTTATGCATTATATATTGTGCTGAATGACAAAAATATCCAAAAACTTAAAAGCGTTACAAATGCTTACTGGCTGCTTAAAAGTTGTACTTTGCCATTTTCTGCTTAAGAGATTTAATGTACTCGTTTAATTCTTTTTTATCACTTTTTTAAAAACTTTATTTCAGGAAGGGAAAATGAACAGAAATTAACTAACAACAAAGTGAATTTAAGGAAAGCTTTGAAGAGTAACCCCACCCTCACTAAGGAAATAAGAACAATCTTGGAACAGACCTTGGTGGAAAAACTAGAAACCTTGGGGATTAATGCGGTATGTTCATTCATTTTTGGAACACTTACTAGTTTTCTAATATTTTGTTTTCTAAATAAGAAACAATCTGAGAAAAGAAGAAGGCACATCACTTCTGTGCACATTTGGAGACCAGAGGGTAATGCAACCTACTTTATTTATCAGACACTGAGACTGTATTCACTGTGTGCCTGGCACATATCTAAAACCTTAATAAACATTAACTTGTTTAAATGCAGAAACAAATCTCTGCAATAAGTGACATTATTATCTTGACATTTTACAGAAAGGTTAAGTAACTTGATTAAAGTCACATGGCTAGGAATGAGGGAGCCAGGGTTGTAACTCAGCAGTCACAGCACTGCTTACTATGACCCAAATCCCCAAATCATTGCCTGTGACACAATCAGTACTTCATAAATACGTGTCCAATGAATGGGTGAATGAATTGTATTTCATATTGTTGCCAGATTGAATAATTTTGCTATATCATATTACTTATAAACTTTTTGCTTTTTACATTTTTTCTTAATATATGTAAAATGCACAGACTTTAACTGAACAACTTGATGAGTTTATGTACTTGACTGTATGTGTGTGTCTGCATATGCACCTATACATGTATGTATGTGTATACCACGTGTATGAACACATACTCATACATGGGCATACGTGCAGGCATGGGCATGAGCATGTGTATGTGAGGATGAGTATATATCCATATGTATATGCAGATACCTGTACATACATGTGTATACACAGGTCACTATGAAAGTTTTGAGACAGACTGTATTATCGTTCATTATTTCACTTCCAAGAAACACAGTTTCTGGTTCAGCAAGTTTCAACTTGCTTGGCTTATTGGTATGGTGGGAGGGTTTCATGTGTTCCCATTGGCACGGATTCTATGTTTCCTTATTTTTCTGTGTCCCAAAACTTTCATAATGACCCGTGTATATGGGTGTATGTGTGTGTGGATGTGTATATGCATGTATGTTTGCACATGGATGTGTGTATAAGTATATAATGTATGTGTATGGATTTTCTGTGTGTGTACAAGCTTGTACACTTATATGTATATATATGGATTTGTATGTACACGGATGTGTGTGTGTGTGTGAGATGGGTCTGTAACCAGCACCCAGCTGAGGAGACAGAACAGTTCCAATGTTCTAGAAGATTCTCATCTTTTTCTAGTCACTATCACTCTTTACTTCCCAACCAGAGCTGAAGCATATTCTGACTTAATTTTACTTGTTCTTTGATCTCTTCACTGTGTAGTATTCTGTAGCTTGCTTCTTTTGCTTATGATTCTGTCTATATGATGCATACCTATCGTTTCATGTAGTAGTAGTTCCTTCTCTATTACGTTGTGGTATTCTATTGTAAATATGAATATCCTGCGATTTATCTCTTCTGCTTATGGACATGTGGGTTTCCCACTTGGGGCTCTTGTTGGTTATTAATACTTGCACATGTCTTTTGGCGGACATGAGCATTCCTTTTTCTTGGATATATATCTAGGAATGAAATTGCTAGGTCAAAAGAGGATATACGTTTCATATAATAGGTATGGCCCAGTGGTTTTCCGAAGCATTTGTTACCATTCACACTGTTCTACAGCGTGAGCGTTCAGTTGTTCCACATCTTTCATCAACTCTTAATCTTGTCAGTCTTTTTCATTTCCACATAAGACTCTTTTTATAGGTAGGTTTTGACCACCCTTGGGAGCAGTAGAAGTCAAAGACATTCATAAAATGTTCCTATGCAAATTATTTCTTGAACCTGTAGTTTTTCATGTCTGTTGTTTCCATATGGTTTTGGGGTTTTAATTTTAATTGAGACATTCCTTTTACTCTAAGATTAGTGGTGGGTATGTGTGAGACAGTGTTATTAAATAAATAGCCCTTAACTGGTTTTCTTCTGTCAAGGGTACCATCCAGTTCAGATGAATTTTCTCAAATGGTCTGCTTAATTATGCTACTTTCATAACTGAAAGTCTCCTCTGATGACATTTTCTTCCCTGTGAAATAATCTTTCAGCTGTTTGAGTTGGCATTTAACCTCTCTTTCTCTCCCAGTCTTTGTAGTTTTAGCGTAGAGGATATGCCTTGCCTATTTCTGCCTCAAAGCCTACCTTTCCAACAAGGTGTCCCTACCCTAATCCCAACCCATCCAGAAATTCCTCCTTGTTTCTACTTATTTGACTCTACCCATTCTTCAGGGCACATCCCAGCCAACCTTTCAGCCTTCTCTGGCTACCGGGGCCACTGATGGCCTTTCTGTAGCCTCTATGAACCCATTTGGTCCTTATCACATGACCTTGAGTTGTTGATCACCAGTCATGATCAGTAATATATACACCTCATGTGCCCAGCTGCACTGTGGGGTCCTTTTAGGGCCAGGCCAGTGTGCTATATGTTGGTGTAGCCCCTCCTTACATGCATCTGGAGCCAAGTAGGGACAGATTGAAACATTAACACAGTTAATGCTGAAATATGCCCATGAATGAAAAACACCCCAGGATAGTTGATTAATTTAACATCTTACTTTTCCAGGATATACGTGGTATTCCAAGTGATCACTTTAATAAGGTGCTGAGAAATGTGGAATTGGCCAGATATGAGCTAGAAAGACAAATACCTAACATTCAGCAAATTCGAGAATTCCTTGAACATGAGGTCAGCTGTAAAATTGAGAAAACATTACTCTCTTCAGGTGAGCCTCTTACCCACTTGCCATTTCACTGTTGCAAATGGGAGCTTAATTTAACAACCTTTTCATGATTTGAAATGATTAGCAAATTTTGGCCCTTCACTTTACTGTTTGCACTATTAAGTGCTGGTTCTTGGATTTTATTTTTAAGTTAAAACAAATCCCTGGAGCAGTATGGGCTGCAAACCCTAGAGATGACTTGTTTGTTTTCATGGCAGCCTAAACAATATTATACTGTTTGGTTTTGCTTTTTTAATTTACTATTCATAAAGGCAATGGAGATTCACAAATGTCATTACTATTCCAGATAAGTTCAATGTTTCTCAAATGGATAACCTTTCGAATGGAGAAGTACCCAAAGGGATACAACTTCCTCCCAAAAGCAGACAGTTGATTAGACAAAAAGCTGTTTTTACAGATAAGACATCTGTTCCAAAGTGAGTATTTTCAACCCTTAAATTTTTTTATTAATGTTTGTCTTAGGCAGCCTAGGCTGCCATAACAAAATACTGTAGACTGAGCGGCTTTAACAATGGAAATTTATTTTCTCATAGTTCTGGAGGCTGGAAATTGGAGAGCAGGGTGCCAGCAAGGGTGGGTTTAGGGGAGGGCTCTCTTTCTGCCTTCTTGCTATGCTGCCACATGGTAAAGATAGAGTGAACTTTGGTCCCTCTTCCTCTTCTTACAAGGGCACTAATCCCATCAAGGGGGCCCCACCTTCATGACCTTATCTAAGCCTAATTAACACCCATAGGCCCTCTCCCAAGATATCATCACACTGAGGGGTTAGCATATGAATTTGGGGGAGACAAAAGAATCCATAACAGTGTTTGGCCCAACAGAAAATCACACTTGCAGTTCCCACCAATTCCCTTGTTGAAGGGAGACTTGTTGCTCCTCTCCCTCTACAGTGTATGTTCAAAGCAAAAATCATCAATTTTATAGACATTCGTGTTAAATTGTATTATTATTCACTCAGTCCAGAAATACATTATTTTCTCTATTGTTTTTTAGAATTAAGAAAAATTTCACAGAAGATCATTTTCCCAGAAAGTCTTCAGTTATTACGTGAGTACTAGTCAGTTCCCCAAGAGTTGGGAGTATTTTTTTAAACATTCTTTACACTGAACTTCCTTTCATTGTGAAGCAGTATGCTTATTGTGGTTGACTGAGCTGTAATTATTAATTGATCATAATTAATTTGTGGTTCCTTTGTGATGTGCTTTTTGTACCATGTCCTTTGTATACCATGTCCTTGTTTCTTTATCAGCTGTTACTTAAGGTATTAGCCCTTGACCACATTGTTGCCTCCATTAATAGGAGGGACCAGAGTGAGCTGAGTCACCCCCTCCCTAACCCTGCCACCTGCCCCAAGGTCATGTTCTCAGTAAGTGTGTGTTAAAACCAAATGGCTGATGTTGAGTTTCAATGGCTTAGATCCATGATAGCATAAGTTTGTTTCGAAAGGTATTTTAGTGTGCAGGCTCCTGGTGGAAGTTGATAATGTCCCTAGACCTTACTCTGTTGGGTTCTGTGAGGATACTAAGAATCTGAACTCAGTTGCTTATCTCTTATATACCACTGGTTCAGTCAATTACTTATTTCAGCCTGTTTTCGCATCTGTAATATGGTATGTTTTAAGCCTCAGTTTTCTTATCTGTAATAGGGAATATTGCTGCCTTTTTTACAGGATAATTCTACAAATTAAATGAGAATATATGAAAAGGGGTTGGCTCCGTGCTTAGTACTTGTGGGTACTCAATAAATTGTAGGTATATTATTTGTCATTAATTCTGAGTAAGACTAATTTTCTTATAATTGAATTTTATCCTCATTGCCTTATTCTGGAGATATCGATGCCATAAATATTTCTTCACTGAGGCGTTATATAGTAAAGACCAACAAATAATGGTTCATCCCTCAAAACTTCTCTTCATGTATATGATCTCGTAGAAAGGACTTTTATTTCATGGGATGTAGTAAGACTGACTCACCATTTACATGAATGACACATTGTCCAGAATGTAGGTGTTCAGTAAACCCTCTTGAACAAACACTGCTCTGAACTTCTGTTTCAGAGTTTAATTTAATTCATGGGCTAATACAAATGCGAATGCATACATAAGAGTACTGAGGGTACAAAGAGTATAAAGGTAAGTCATAAGTAAAATATACTATTTTAAAAGATGGAGTAGTTTTCTTGAGGAAAATGTTTTCTTCCACTGAGAAATGTTCCTCTCAGGTGTGTAAAACCAAAACTGTTAAGAGCACACACATTTGAGTTCAGAGGAGAAAGGTTGTAACTTCAGTCTGTTTGGGTGCACCCTACGCTTGGCAGCTCTTCAGCCTGTATCTAACTCCCAGGGCTCCCTGCCATCCTGGCTCACTGGGAATTCCCAGAGAAAGTTCTCACTACTTCTAAGAGGCATATCATTCATAAATCCTGAAACTTAAGGAAATAGCACCCCGTCTCGGTTTTGATTCACGTAGGACACCTCCCTTCAGTTCAGAAGAGGAGCTGGAGGACGACAACCTCGTCCAGACCTACATGTGTCCAGACCTGCTTCCTGTGCCACCACCTCACAGCTTGGTAAAGAACATCATCAAGAGTGACATGGATTGGACCGAGGAAAGTGAAACAGAGGACTCGGATGATTCTCCCAAGCCCACCGGTGAGCTTTTGTCATTGAGAAACCTTGTGGACATCTTATTGATGACACTAGTCCTCACCCAGGGGCACCACGCACTGGGAGTCTGAGCTGGGAGAGCATGTGAGGAAGGGACAGGGCTGCCCCGAAACGTGCTGCCTGAGCAAGCTGGGCAGGGCTGGGCAGGGCTGAGCAGCTAACCACTGTTGAAGGTGAGGAGAGGAAGGAGGTGGGGATGGCTGGTGTGTCGGCTTCTTAGGGCTGCGGTAGCCAAGTCCCACAGACTGGGTGGCTTAAAGGACGGAAACTTATTTTCTCAGTTCCGGAGTCTGGAAGTATAAAACCAAGTCCAAGTTTCCCATTCATATAACATCACTGGCCATGGTGGACCACTACGCCACCTCACTTTACCCTGATGACCTCCGTAAAGGCCCTGTCTCCAAATAAAGTGGCATCCTGAAGGACTGGGGTAGGACTTCAACATCTGAGTCTGGGGAGGCACAGTTCAGCCCAGAGCAGTGGGTGACTGTTAGAAGTGCTAATACGGGCTCGGTGCCTATAGCTCAACCGGCTAAGGCGCCAGCCACGTATACCTAAGGTGGCGGGTTCGAATCCCCTGCCTGGACCCGCCAAAACAACAATGACGGCTGCAACCAAAAAATAGCCGGGCATTGTGGTGGGCGCCTGTGGTCCCAGCTACTTGGGAG